AAGGGGGAGGAAGTGGGGGGAAGGGGGGAAGAGGAAGGAAGGAAGATTGGGTTGGTTGCAGTGACTCACACCTATAATCCCAACACTTTGGGAGACTGAGGTGGGCAGGTTGCTTGAGGCCAAGTTTCTGACCAGCCTGGCCAATATGGCAAAACCCCATCTCTACTAAAAATGTAAAAACATTAGCTAGGTGTGTTGGCACATGCCTGTAGTCTCACCTACTCGTTGTGAGGCTGAGGCAGGAGGATCACCTGAACCTAGGAAATGAAGATTGCAGTGAGTTATGGTGGCACCACTGCACTCCGGCCTGGGCAACAGGGCAAGACTTTCTCCAAAATAAATAAATAAGCAAACAAACAAACAAACAAAACAAACATGGAAAGTCAACGTTTATGAAGTCTCCTTTTGCCTTACACCATCTCTTTTTCTCCTATTAACAAATGGAGAGGGCTGGGCGTGGTGGACCACGCCCGTAATCCCAGCACTTTGGGAGGCCAAGGCGGGTGATCACCTGAGGTCAGGAGTTCAACAGCAGCCTCGCCAACATGGTGAAACCTCATCTCTACTAAAAATACAAATATTAGCCAGGCACGGTGGTGGGCGCCTGTAATCCCAGCTACTTGGGAGGCTAAGGCAGAAGAACCGCTTTAACCCGGGAGGCAGAGGTTGTGGTGAGCCCAGATCACACCACCATTCTCCAGCCTGGGTGACAGAGTGAGACTCTGTCTAAACAAACAAACCCAAAACATATGGTGAAGGGGTTGAGTTGAGCTTTAACTCTAGCTTCTAAACTAATTATACTGCATTTGTATCTAGCCTTTCTGCTAACACTGGCTAAACTCATAACCACTGTGTAAGACTGTTCATTCATTTTAATAGTAATATACCTACAGATGCAAGATTTCCACCTCTGCATACATTATGTAAATAATCTACTACTTAAAGCAAAACAATAAACCCCACAGGTGGACATTCATGCTTTTTTTGAGGCTGTCTCGCTCTGTTGCCTAGGGTGGGGTGCAGCAGTGGCACATCTCGGCTCACTGCAGCCTCCGCCTTCTGGGTTCAAGCAATTCTTGTGCCTCAGCCTTCCAACTAGCTGGGATTACAGGTGCGCCACCATGCCCAACTAATTTTTGTATCTTTAGTAGAGACAGGGTTTTGCCATGTTGGCATGGTTGGTTTGAACTCCTGGCCTCCAGTGATCTGCCAGCCCTGGGCTCCCCAAAATGCTGGGATTAGATGTGAGCCATCACTACTGGTCTCCATGCTTCTCTTTCTAAGTC